AGCTAAGATCCATCTAACATCAGCTACAATATCCCTAGTACCACAACCCCTTATAAACCCAGCCTGCACTTCTGGCAGTTCTCTGCTGATGTGCTGTTCCTGTCGTTTTTGGATAATCTTCAGTAGAATCTTGAATAGAGGCTTTCTCTGAGTGTCAGGACAATAAGTGGTCTTTGTGTTCATTCTTCTTTGTCTACATTTTATGCATTTTTTTACTATACTTGGACCTGGGACAAGTTATATTACTTTAATAGAGGAAATACTCAAAACCAGTAAAAATAGAAGGTCATTTCCAAAAGAAAAAAAATAAGTCTATTCTCAATGAAGTCCACCAGCATCTTCTGCATGTATGTTGAATGCATTAATAGACAAAGGAGTTGATAAGATTTGGCTGATTCCCTATAGTGATAGCCTGACTTGTGGTCTTTTTCCTCTTTATAATCACTCCTCTGTGGCATTGTGACACATGTGTGCACTGAACTCCTCTAGCTGAATGACCTATGAGTTAGTCCTGACGGATGGGTGACTCTAACGAACCAATAAGCAGGAAAAGTGACATCTTTGTAACACTTGGACAGGAGAACTTTAGAAGTGAGACATATGGGTGGGGAGAAAAAAAGAAAGAGAGGCAGCTTTGCTTTTCTGTGACCATTTAACCTTCCTACCACCACCTTAACATTCTCTGGACTAAGTAAGAAGCAAGATAAGCGAGGGAAGTTATGAAATGCTGAGTTTGTGATTTTCTGAGACACAAGGGGCCGATTATTCCCATTCTTTATGTGTATATATCTCAATATCCTCGCTTTGAGATAAGCAACTTAGATTTGCTTTGCTTTTCAGAGAATTGTTGAGAAAACAGTAGAAACTCAAAATTTAGGAAAAATTAGATGCCTGTTTGGCTGAATTTCTAAAGTAGCAAAAATTAGTCTGTTATCCAAGAAAAACAATAATGTGCACTGAAGATAGATACAGATAGATATAGACATAAATATATATAGAAATAGAGATAGAGATAGAGATAGAGATAGAGATAGAGATATAGGTATAGATATAGATATAGCTATGGAGACAGAGACGGAGATAGAGATGATAGAGATATAGATTATAGAGATAGAGATAGAGATAGATAGATGTAGATGATATAGATATAGGTGATAGAGATAGAGATAGTTGATATAGATGATATAGGTAGAGATAGATATAGATGATATAGATATTGAGATAGATATAGATGACATAGAGATAGGGATACATAAGTGTGTATGCGCACAATTCATCTGAATTGACAGTAGTCACCTTTAGTGAATTGATGTAGCACTTTCCATATTCATTCAGCGTCCACTCATTCATTCATTTATTCTACAAAGGTTAAATGACATCTACTTGACTATGTGTCATAGCTACCCTGTGAACAACATAGCTGAACCATACCCCTTCCTGTGCCGTCCTCTCGTCGTCCTCTTTCTGATCTGCTTGAGCTCACCGTGTCCGTCCATCTCATCGATGATCTTCCTCTCTTTCTCTGGCCCTCCACCTTTCTCACAATGATGCCTCTCTCCAAGGACAGTTCTTCCTGATAATATGCCCAAAGTTAGCACAACTACTGGTCCTTCTTCTTTGCTTCCAATTTTTACATTCCAGTCACTGATTTGCTTTCTTTTTGCCCTTCTTTCTCACAAAGAACAGCTGATGATCTCACACAGGGTTCCTTTGAGTTGGTTGTGCAGCTCCTTACCGTTGAGTCAAGACAAAGCAAAATATTATAATGAAATGTGCAAAGAGCTTATGTCATAAAATAAAAAGGGAAGAACTCACTTGACACATCTTAAGCTGAGCTGAAATAACAGAAAACTAACTCAAGCCTCAAGTTCCAATACTGAGAGATGTTATGGGCAATATCTTTGATGATTCAGGAAGCATCAAAAGATGATGGAAGCAATACATAGAGCCACAGAATACCAAAAAGCATTAGTTGACAGTGAAAAATTTCAGAAAGTATCATATGAACAAAATCTGTACTAATGAAGGGAGAAGTTCAAGCTGCACTGAAGGCAATGGCAAAAAAATAAGACCCCAGGAATAGATGGGATACATATTGACATGTTTCAACTAACAGATGCAGCCCTGGACAGGCTCACTTATCTACGATAGGAAGTTTTCAGGACAGCTGCCTGACCAACTAAATGGAAGAGATCCCTATTTGACCCCATTCCCAAGAAAGGTGACCTGACAGAAAGTGGAAATTATTGAACAATGTCACTAATTCACATGCAAGCAAAATATTGCTGAAGATCATCCAAAACCAGCTTCAAGGAACTGCCAGAAGTTGAAGCTGGATTTAGAAGAGGCTGTCTCACCAGAGATGTCATTACCAATGTCTGATGGATCTTGGATGAAAGAAGAAAACACCAGAAGAATGTCTACTTGTGTTTTATTGACTATACAAAGGCAGTTGACTGTGTGGATCATAACAAACTATAGCTAACATTGGGAAGAATGAGAATTTGCACTTATTTAATTCGTGCAAAATCTATACAGATCAAGAAACTGTTATCCAAATGGGGGAAGGTTTAAAATCATGGCATGATTTAAAATCAGCATCAGGGATATATCCTCTCTCCACACCTATTCAATCTGTATGCTAAGTAAATAGTTTGTGATGCTGGATTCTATGGAGAAGAATGTGGCATCAGGATCAGAGGAAGATTCATCAATAGCCTGTGTTAAGCAAATTACAGTCTTTCTTGTTGAAAGTGAGGACTTGAAGAGCTTGCTGCAGAAGACCAAGGGCCAAAGCCTTAGATACAGATTGCATCTCAACATCAAGAAAACAAAGGTTCTTCCAATAGACTGATTGGCAACATCATGATAGATGGAGGAAGAGTTGAAGTTGGCAATGATTTTGTCTTGGATCAACAATCAATACCCATGGTACCCACAGTCAGGAGATCAGGAGGCATATTTCATTGCACAAGTCCACTTTCAGGGCAATGATATGTTAGTCTGAAGACTAATGTACATTCCATTCAGGCCATGGCCTTCTCAATAACTTACTGCACGTCTGAGAGCTGACCAATGTATAAGGTTGACAAAAGAAGAATTGATACCTTTGAGCTGTGGTATTGGAGAACAGTCCTTGATATCCCAAAAGAACAAACAAATATGTGTTGGAGAAAGTGCAACCAGAGTAGTACATGGAGGCAAATATGGTAAAGTTTTCTCTCTTATAGTTTGGGCATGTTGTTAGGAAAGGCTATTTCTTGGGAAGGAACATTATGCTTGGAAAGGTGGAGAGTCAGTAAAAAAAGAGGAAGATCCCCAAGGAGATGAATTGACTCAGTAACTGCATAATGGGCTGAGATATGCCAGAGAAGATGAAGATGGCACAGGATAAGACAGAGTTCAGGGTCTGTTGCTCATAGGGTCACTATGAGTTGTGTTCAACTGAATGGTACCTAAGAACCACAACAACAAATCACTGATTGTCATCAATGCATCTCAATTGAATGTTAGATCAACTTCAAACTGCAAAAGTTGGTAGAAATCCTCCATTTCTTCCTCTTTTGCTTTCATGATTGGCATGTGTATTAGAATAATGGTTACATTAACACGACTTCCTTGCATGTGTACAGATAGTGTCCTATTACTCACAGCATTGTATTTAAGGATAGGTCTTGAACTGTTCCTTTAGATGATGAATGTCACATTGTTCCTCTTCAATTCATTATTTTTGGCACAGCAGATCACCTGATTGTCCAATTCAAAATGGCCAATACCAGTCCACCTTAGCTCATTAATGCTTGTTATGTTGCTGTGTTCTGTGAAGTCAGAAACACCTCGTAGCTGTTCCTCCAGCCAGTTTTCAGAGACAGGAAATTTCTTGGGAGGAGATTGCCCATCTTTCTAGCATGGAGAAGCTGGGGGATTCAAACAACGTACATTTGGATTGCTAGCACAGCTCTTTACCACTAGACCACAAGAACTTCCTAGGACGTTGATCTCAATGCATTCCATTTCATTTTGACAACTTCAATCTTTCTAGATTCCTGCTTTGTACATTACATATTCCAATTGTTATTGGTTATTTGTGGTTGTTTCTCCTCAGTGAATCTTGCCATAGTAGCAAAATGATGGTCCTTCATTGGGTCAAGTCTACACTCCATCTGTGTCATTAAGGTAGACTGTACTTTAAGGAAATAGCTCTTCTCAAGTCACATTTTGAATGACTTTCAACCTGAGGGCTCATCTTCTGACACTATATCCAACAATGTTCTTCTGTTGTCCGTAGAATTATTTAAGGACTGTTATTTCAGAAGAGGAAGGACAGTCTTGCTTCTTAGTCAATCTTAGACTAAGGAAGCTGTACGAAATCTGTCTACCATGGGCAACCCCACTGGTATTTGGAATATCAGTGGTATAGCTTCAAGAATTACAACTATTCACAAACCACCACCGTACGGAAAACCGATGAGTGGTAGACTCCATAAATGCTAGACCCAAATCCTTGCTCAACCCCAGCCCATTGTGCAGTCCTAAAATAACTCTATTTCTCAATTATACTTATAGCCAGGGGTTCTTGCAGGGCCATACCGTGATCAAAATACAACTGGCACTCATCCAGGGCAACAGCTATTACTATGGTTGGCACTGTGTACTCAGTACCCGGGTGTGTAGCAATTCTCCGAATACTCAGGATCCTTTGAAGACCTTGGTACTATCCAGGTATGTGTTTTGGTAAAATGAACTGAGCATGAATTCATGTTTTCCCAGATGCCGGAGCCCCTACCTACGTGTATGAATTTCAGCATCGCCCAAGCTTCTCATCAGAGATGAAACCCAAGACGGTGATAGCAGACCACGGAGATGAGCTCTTCTCGGTCTTCGGGGCCCCATTTTTAAAAGGTGATGACTCTGTACTGGTTGTGAACTTGGAGTCAGTCATAGATAGGGTCTTGAATCTTAGTTGGGTCACCTAACATGTTCTTCCCTATTTCTTAGCCTTGTTGTTGTTGTTGTTCTTGTAATATGTTATCAAGTCAGAATTGACTCATAGTTGACCTTCCAGGGGTTTTCAGAGGCTGTAAATTGCATAGAAGATTACCTGCCTTTCTCCCAGGGAGCAGCTGCGGGATTTATACCCCCTTGCTTTTGTTTTGGCAGGTTACCACTAGGTTAATCAGGGGTCCCTATTTCTTTGCATCAGTTTTCTGAATCCATATTGATAAAGCTGGACTATATTGAACAGTCCTTGACCCTTCGCAGCAAGTGCATGAGGTCCTCCTCAGTTTCAG